TACTATAACAAGCATTATTCTAATAGGCGACAACGATCATTTGAACCCCTTGTCTTCTTGAATATCGGTATGGGGTGGGTCGAGTAATAATATGCTTCAACCTATCTTCATCACTCAGAAAAAAATGTATTAGAATACTATTTGGTGACCTTGAAGCATATCTAGATAAATTTAGAACATGTGCCAGAACACGTTGTATAGATGAACAAATCCTAGGAAGGGAATTCTTTGAAAAAGAGCATACAAAGCCGTTGTTTAACAAGAACGGCCTTCTTACCGTCCACAACCTGTACAAATACACATGTCTATTAGAACTGTTCAAAATTGTCAGATTAGAATCTCCAATCTCACTCCTATCTTTACTCCACAGATCACCATCACAAAGACGTTCAGACCAGTTCATCACCCCGAACCCATCCTCCTCTTTTATTTATCAATCAACAAAAATGTGGAACGACTGTCGAAAAATTGACAGTTTGATAAGCTTTACTAAGTCAACGAACTTAGTTAAAGTAACACTGAAGAGTGAGTTACTCAAGATACAGTCAAGGTACGAAGAATTAGAATGGACAGAATTAAACTTTGATAAGAATGAGCTTGTATTTTAAGGCCACAGGGGGGGTCCGAGGTCGAAAAAAAGTTTTTTGCCAGTTGGCAGACCACGTACTATCTGACGCTTGCACACCACCCTTAGCCCCCCAGATCGCCTAGTTTGTCATAAAATAGAGGTTAACTATTGCCTTTTTAATCAGTTAACCTCACAAATAACCAGTTCTTAACATTTTGTTGCTCTCATCACAAGTTAAACTTATCAATGGGTATCAATTGGCCATCCAATGTGATTAGATTAGATTAGATTAGATTAGATTAAGAATAATGACATAAACATCATCACTAGTTTTAAACATTCTTTCTGATTTCCTCATTATCAGAACTGTGAACATTTCACAGCCTTCGTCATTAAAAAAAAACAAACAAATTCTATAACTAACATAATTGTCATAATTTATTTACATATAAAAAAGTTAAAAAAGTTAAAAACCGTTAATTTAAAAATAACTAAATAAAAACAAATTCATGAGATATTTATTCCCTTTCTCTTGGCAACACACGGATTTTTATGTAAATATTGAACTTGTTGCTTCTTCTTTTCGATATAATTTACACCCTCTATTTTAGCTAAAACTATATTTGACACTTCCCAAAAGTTGCCTGTGTCTACTAAATTATTAGTCTTTTTAAATTCTTCTAGATTAATTTTAAAATCAATAACAGACACTGAATTTCTGACAAAAGATGGCAATTTATTCCAAAAGCTGATAACACGCTCTGATAAAAAATTATTAGACAAGGTTTTAATATTTCTATCAATACTGTTAGATTTAGTGCTAACAATTTTATCTCCCGATCTACTTAAATTGAAAATATCTTTTCCATACTCAACCAATCCATTTACAATTTTGTAGGCTTCAATCAAATCTCCTCTAACCCGTCTCTCTGCGAGTGTTGTAATCTGTAAGGCATCCAACCTTTCACTGTAAGGAAGTGTTCCAATATCATCAATAAGGCGTGTGAACCTTCTCTGGACATTTTCCAGTTCAATGATAGTAGCCCAATTCCCATGGCAGGCAGGTGGAGACCACAACTGAGCACAATACTCCAAGTGGGGTCTTATTATAGTTTTATAAACATTTCTCATAACGTTAAGTTCTCTTATAATGAGATTCCTTGTAACCCATGCAATCATACTGTTTGCTTTACTAATACAACTTTTAATATGTTTCGACCATTTCAAATCTGAAGAAGTTAAAACTCCAAGAAACTCTGCTTCAATACATTCAAGTGTAACACCACTAAATACATATTCTTGAAGGGGATTTTCGTTAAATGGAACATGCATTATTTTGCATTTGCTAGGATTAAACTTTAACAGCCACACATTTTGCCAGTTTTGCAAGCTTTCTAACATATTGAAAGTGCTTTCAGTGTCATTGGCATCCATAATAACTTTAAGATCATCTGCAAACAGTTTTGATATACCATTAATACAATCAGGCAAGTCATTGATAAAAATGACAAACAATAAAGGACCTAAAACAGACCCTTGTGGGACGCCTGATAAAACATCACGAAGGTAGGAATATGCTCCACCAACGAATGTCTTAAATCTTCTTCCAGATAAAAAGTCTTTCACAATATCTAAAGTGTTACCACTTATACCCAAATTTCTCATTTTTGTAAGTAGTCTATGATGTGGAACACTGTCAAATGCTTTACAAAAATCTAAGTAAAACACATCTACGGGTGCACCATCTTCTAATAGTTCGATGATACATTCTACACTCTCTAATAGATTAGATAAACAAGATTTACCTTCTACAAATCCATGCTGGTTTGGATTTATCTTTTTACTAACAAAACTCATAATATGCCTCCTTACTAATTTTTCATATAATTTACATAAAATGCATGTAAGTGACACTGGTCTGTAATTTAGGGCATCTTTCCGACTACCCTTTTTATAAAGAGATGTAACATTTGCTGTCTTCCACTGTTCTGGAATTTTTCCACTTGAAGCACATGTTTGAAATAATTTAGTCACAGCAGAAACAAAACTTGAATTATGTTCAAGTTCTTTTAATAATTTAGGATGAATGCCATCTGGCCCTTTACTTTTACTAATATTAATTCTTTTCAGTTCTCTGCCAACATCATCCATTGTTATCTCAATATTTTCAATGTGTAACTCATCCGCAATAAAATAACATTCTCTGTTCAAAGGTCCATCTGGTTCTTTGACAAAAACTGAAGCAAAAGCATCAGCCAATACTTCGGCAGTTTCAAAATTACTTTTGGTCAAAGATCCGTCCGGTTTTTCCAGGGATGATACACAACTTTTTAACACTCTTTTCCCTCTTAAATATGCATAAAATGGCTTCGTATTATATTTCATACACTGTGTAATTTTTCTTTCATAATTAACTTTACACTTAAATGACTTACTATCAAACTGTCCTTGTTGGTTCAGTGCAACATTAAGATTTTCAGAAGAAGGATTATTATCAAAAATATACCAACATTTATCTGTCTTTTTCCTGCATCTTTTTAGGGATGAATTTGCCCAAGGCTCACATTTAAAGTTCTTTTCCGTCGGAACTATATCAGATACTAAGTTAAGCTTTGAGTGTAACTCACTCCACATATCTTCAGAAGTTAAAGTACCCTCACTAAAAGACCAGTCAATTTCAGCTGATCTGTGTAACAATTCTTTGCCAGAGACTTTTCCCCATAACTTTCTAGGCTCCTTTGCAGCCTCATCATCTTGCTTACTGTTACTAAGACTTAGATTTAATTCTACATTAAAACAAACATGATCGCTCTTTCCCAAGGGGGAGACAATCATTACTTCATTGACAATAGCTTCGTTTGTAGAGAGAACCTGATCTAGTGTACTCTCTTGAAGTTTACCGCTGACAACTCTACGTCTGGTAACTTCATCTGTGATATACCAAACCAAGCCATTGTCTTGTACACATTCCATAAAATTCTTTTCTATAATTAAACCCTTATTACTTGTTCCTAAAGGAGCATTAACAGTTCCACTAAGCCAAGATACATTTGGTAAATTTAAATCTCCAACTAGGATTGATTCAACATTAAAAACAGCTAGTTTTGCAATCATTTTGGTCATCGCATTGTTCTGCGCTTTAGAAAGAGACATTGATCTATAAATACATGCAATATTTACCCTACCAATGTTGCTATCGAATTCAACAGCAATCGAATCAGTGACCCTAAACCAATCTATGACAACTGGGTTCAAAGAGTCTTTAATATAAATAATACAGCCTCCACCACTACTAACAGAACTTTCTCCTACTTCTTCCTTAACTGTAAAATCTCTATCTTTTCTAAATATTTTGAAACCAGGTATGCTAATTTCAGCATCAATAATTTCATTGTTAAAATGAGTTTCATTTATGCAAACAATGTCAGACTGGTACAGCGAAACAGCATTTCTCAATTCACAAAACTTATTATATAAACTATTACTGTTACTATAAAACAATTTAAGGTTTAGGTATTCTTTATCTTTGCTTTCTCTGCAAGTCGCTTTCTCCGTTCCTGTCTCACAAAAAATTGGACGTCTCTGTCAGCTCTGTTCAGATCCTGATTGATCCAATAAACTTCTTTCTCTGCTTTTTCAGAATCCACTTCTATCTTCCAACCTTTACCATAGTTACTCCAATGCAATGCAGCCTCTTTTGATTTTAGTTTTACAATCAGCGGTCTAGGTTGATGTTCCCTGCTTTCACCAGATTCAGTCAATTTACCTGCCCGGAAACAGGACACAATCACGTCTTCTTCCATGCCACAGGTTTCATGTAAAAACTTGAGATCATTGCTTTGAGATCTGTTCTCTTTGATAGCCATTTCGGGAACGTGTCTGATGATCACATTACATTCTCTTTTGATCCGTTGGATCTTGTCAGCATCAATCTGTTGGACTGTTGCCTTCACTAATTGAGTTGGTGGCTTGTCACTAATAGTTGCCTGGAGGTCAACCTTCGCTGCATCAACGTAGCTCTTCACTTTTGAAGATGATTCATTGACTATATCTTTTTTGACAGCAGCCATTGCTGTTGGTAACTCGTTCTGCAGACTGTTTTTAACAGCATTGGTAACCGTTTCATTAATGGTTTCACTCAACTTAATCAGCACTGTTGTCGCATTGACAATGCAGTGTGGACACTTATATTGTTTGATGAAAAGCACCTGATCCTCGTCAAGTCCTGTCAGTCCAACACAATCAAGATGACACCATTTGTTGCACCAATCACATCTGATCCATAGAGAATCATCAATGTGTTCCTTGCAGAAACAATCTTCTTCAGGTTTAGTACGTTCTTCTTCAGCTTGTTCATTCGTCTCTACATGTTCTCTACTGGCTGGGGCACTATCAGTGTGCCCCGTTTGCCCGTCATTCTTTACCATCCCTGAACTCAAATTATTTGTTATATAGTAGTGTTGAAAGTATGAACAGAACTATTATATGACCTTTATTTGTTGGAAAATTGAGGTTAACATATTTTCTCAGAATCATGGTCTTTTGACTCTCCTGAACAATTTATTTACCACCTCAAAAACCTATCTTCTCCTAGAGCTTTTATCCATTTCACCTCAAATTTGGAACTTATGTTCCTGACATAAATTTGAAAGTTTGTTATGTAACGATTGTTGTAATTTTGCTCCTAACTCTTTTTATGAGGTTAACCATTTTAAATTTTGTAAATTTTGTAATTCTCACTCATGGTTAACCTCATATCTCAGCTTTGGAGCAAGATATCATAAATCGTTACATAACAAAAACTCAAAATACCTTTAAGTTCACATTGTTGCCAAGTTACAAGGTTCTAAGTCATAAACTAAAAAAGAAGATAGATTTTGAACACAATTGCATTTAAAGTTTTCATTTACAATAGAATTACAGGTAAACCTCAAAATTCAACGCGCGATATCTTCAAATAGGAAACTTTGTTTTCGGTAAGGACAAAAGCATTTGAAAATTTAGATCGAGCTCTACAACATATCTCAAAATCTCAAAATTGACCTCGGACCCCCCCCTGTGGCCTTAAAACAGAGTCCTTTGACTTTATTATTTTAAAATTGAAGAATCGTCTGGCCACAACTCATTTCGTTCGCATTATAGATTCACTTTCATTTTCACTATCACGCACAGTACAGGGTCATACCTCACTACCAAATTATTATAGGGCACAAGAACAAATTTGTTTACAATTTTAGACGGCCCCAACGTTAATGTGGCTCTTGCTATGTGTTGGTTCAGCCGAATTAATTATTATGTAATCAAGTTTATTTTTCTCTTTTAGTTAGTTGTCATCCGGCCAAACATTAAGCAACTTATATTGCAGTTCCATTTATCAATTAGTATATCAAAATATGTCATTGTAATTTTGCATGGCTGAAATGTAACGCTTGATTTATATATATAATAATTAATTGAATTTTCAAATAAAAATCAAAATTTGTTGAGCCCAGCAGCTTACTTCCTTTCCTCTCTTCCCCCGTTGTCTGGAGCATGTGATTTTTGTTGATATCCGAGCTCTTGTTTTTATCTTTTGGTTAACTTTCTGTGATTGGACTCGGTATTTTCGTCCCCGCCGAGTGGGACGATGCTTGCTTGCCAGTTAAGCTATACTTTAGATGACACTAATTTCTACAAACCACAAAATATTAAATATAAAATGTGTCCAGTATGGCGCAAATGCATAATTTGATAATTTCTCGACGCCGTCGTCGGGGTGAGAGTTATCTGAACCAACTGCATGCCCCTACGATTGCGTCACCACTGGTGAGCAAGCATTTGTTTGTTGTTTAGTTGTGTTGAAAGGGAACATTACTTGATTAATTCATCCATTCGGATTTTAATAACGATGAGCTATGATATACCGTTCATCTTAGACTATTGGATCAATCTTATTATATGATTAGATTTTATAAACAAACTTGGCACACAAAAGATTATAATGCGGACGCGGAGGTTGACTGGCTCTTCTATAATAAATACGACACTTCAATTTACAGAATGCTTGCTAGAGGTAAGACAAAATATTATCAGACTATACATGCAGCATGAGTAACTGGTGGATAAGCCTTCGGTAAAAACGGATCCGGAAAAGTCAATGCGGCACTCGGGTCCTTGGTATTGTCGTTGGTATATTGTCCATTATCTACATTCTGCTTTCGTAGTTTAAAACAATAGTGAGTTCTAAATATACAGCTTTAAACCGATTAAGTATGAATGAATGAAATACCTGACAATCCGCACTCTTATAATCCAAAAGCATGAGTAACTCGTAGTGATGTATGATTTTTAGAAACTTTAAATTAAATTTGGCGCTCACAGGTCCTCATGAATATGTGATTGCCGCATAAGGTTCTGTAAATGCGCAGGGCACCTTCAAGCTTAAATTATTCACCTTACTGAGGCAGTCAACCAACGCGTGGCTTTATTTTTATGATATGATATGTTTTGATTGTTATTAATAAATACCAAAATTTAAATTTGTTTTCCTAAAAAAAAATTTGTTTTCCTTGACTGATGGGGGCTCAGGACCAGTTTGCATCAAGGTTTGAAGCTAAAATTCCGCGTTTTTAAGCTTTTAGGTTGGCTGTAAAGAGGTTACCTGTAAAGATGTGACCACTGAACCTCTCCTTATCCCTGTCAATGGGAGAGAACTTCCTGCAGGGGTCAACAAAGCAGATGGAGGTAGGTTAGATGTTAGTGCTGAGTGTATGGAACCCATTGGAAAGGGTATTTTTAGATGTAAGAGTATTTCATACTCAAGCTCCTTCCAATAAGGCTCTTGGATCTCCAATGAGTATGTACACTAGCCATGAGAGACAGAAGAAAAACATGTACAACAAAAGGATTGTTGAAGTGGAACATGGAACATTTACACCAATAGTCCTATCAAAAACAGGTGGAATGGGAAGAGAAGCAAATACTTTCTTCTAAAAGCTCCTTCCAATAAGGCTCTTGGATCTCCAATGAGTATGTACACTAGCCATGAGAGACAGAAGAAAACATGTACAACAAAAGGATTGTTGAAGTGGAACATGGAACATTTACACCAATAGTCCTATCAAAAACAGGTGGAATAGTCCAGTCATTTATGGAAATGCATCTGCAAATCTTCAGATACTCACGAAACTTTGAACAGACCTTCCCAAAGGTATGAATAAACGATTTTCGGTTGGAGACATTTTTATTACTGTGGGGGAAACCCAGGAGGGCCACGCCCATATTGACCTAATAATGTAACTGACCCTTTGCTTCTGAAGGTCGTATAGACTTCATGATAGGCTTAAACGAAGCCGCATATATGCATGTTTATATAGAAGTTATTGATCAACAAATGGCCTTAAATCCTCAATTTTCGAGAAATTCGCCAAAAACCATTTTGGGCGTGGCGCAGAGCCCATTTTACTAACTTTTGATATGATCGTGATAGAGTCTTCGGATAGTGTGCAAAAGAACTGCAATTGGTATATTTATTTATGACTTATGAAGATACAGATGCCTTAAAGTGCTTACTTTTTTAGTTATTGGCGAAAAACTGATTTTCGGTTCCAGAAATCATGCAAAAATATGGGTATCTGGTAAATTGGGCTATGAAGGCCATAGAGATTTTTGAATGATTGCAAATTGTGCAGAATGGCCATGTTTATATACTTATGAAGCAACATGTACCCTAAAATGCTTACTTTTCAAGTTATTCGGGGAAAACCAAAGAAAATTTGCACGAAATAGAGCAAAATTGGTTATATCAGCCATTTTTGCCTCCCGTTATATGTTAATAACTCCAGCACTACCTTTAAAAGAGTATGGAAACCTAATATGTTCAATTTAAGCCTAGGGTTAAGGTGTTGTCCTTAAATAATTGTTAACACAAATCAGCGAAAATGGATTCGGAAAAGCCATTATTGGCACTTGAGTCCTTGATATTGTCGATGGTGCTCTGGGCCATTTGAACTGCCATTTTTCAGCTTCTGTCAACTGAAATTACTATTAATCCAAGTTGAGGCAATCAGCCGAAATGTGGCTTTTATGGTTATCTATGATATGCATTATCTGTAATAATATAATAAAGATCAAAATTCATTTAATTTGTATTCTTAAATTTGTATTCTTAATCATTAACATTTCTCACTGATCATATTATTAGGAGACTATGCTAGCCACATCAACCCCGGCTGTAAAGAAGAGAAAGAAGACTTCCTCACCTTTGTTGTCTAAACTCCCTAAAAAAAAGAAGAGGAAAAGTGTTGCCAAAACACCTGTGCCTGAACTAATAATATGTGCTGACCAACTAAAATCAGATATTGTTAAGAAAGAAGAGGAAAAATATGAACCTGTATTTCAGCCTGCACTAAATATCAAAATTGAACCTATAATATTTGAAGAAATAGAAGTAAAACCGGATCAAATTAAAGTGAAAAAGAAGAAAAAGAAGAGAAAGTCCGAAATTAAAGTTGAGAAACAACTAATTACAGAAGAGAATTCAGAGTTGCATGCAAATGTTTTAAATAAAGAAGATACTCCAGAACCCGAAGTTCTGATAAAGCCTGAACCAGCAACTCCTGAGAAGCCCTCTCTTAAAATCGAACCAGCTGAATTCACATCACTTTTTAATTCTAATATCAAACAGGTAACTTATGAACACAATGTAAATTTTGATAATTTCTGAAATATTAAACGTTCTTTCCATATTTAATTAGTGGATGTAATGGTTACTGGTATTATAAATCTTATTTTTTCTACCCTGCTGTTACCCAATATTGTACTTTCTAACTTAATAAGCTTTGTTTAATTAACAGGAACTAGAAGAGGTGGATGATGCAGTAGATGAGCATGTATGCAAGAAGCTAAGATTCAACCTATCAGACTCATGTATTGTACAGTACGACACTACCTTGCACTGCGCTATTCCTCCCTTTTTCATAAACAGTATCAAGTGAGTGCAACGCTGAACTTATTGATCGATTGATCCTACATTGCAGGCATGTGTGGTTAAACTTCTGAATACTAATAAGACAGCCCTGATGTTTGAGGTTATTTTGTGAATATTCTATAGATCTTTAAATTGCTGCTCAGTATATATCTTATCTAACACTTTATATTTTCAGAAACGGTATTAAATCCCAACTGAAAACCCTGCACCTCAAATACCTGGAATCTGAGCAAGGTGTTCTCCTAAGATACACCAACATCAAATTCAAAGAACGAGCAGCAAGGATAGTTTCTATATCCCCAGAACTTCATTTTGATATCTCATGCACAGTGACAGTGTTCAGACCTAAAATGGGTGCCATATTGGAAGGAACTGTTGTGAAAATTGGGCCTGGCTATGTGAACTGCCTCGTGTTTGGGTATTTCACAGCTGTAGTTTATGATCGCTTTACGAACCCTGTAGAAGTAGGTAGTGTGATTAGATTCAAGATTGCATTCTACCAAGTCACGGTACACAATGATTTTATTCTGAAAGGCAGTCCAGTTACTTGATGTTTTCAGAGATTATGGGAATTCTTTCTAATTTATTACATTTTTGCATAGGGAGTGTTGCGTTGTTCAAGCTTTCGTACGTCACAACTCACAGCGTTTCTTAATTTATTACCTTGCGCTTCTTAAAGGTTCAATCACAGGAGCCAGAGCAGCGCCATTGATAAATGAATGGGCCGAGAATCAATTATGAGTCTCTTTTTATCTTACTTTTGTTTGCTAATTTATTATATGACCTGGCATTCTTTTATTTTGAGGTGATAACTGATGATGATAGTTTTTATTAAAAACCCAAATATGAAGATGAGTTCTAGATGTTCATTCGAGCTTTTGTTAAGCTTTTGTTTCACTTTCGACATCACAACGGCACTTAACAATGGACAGTAATGATATTCAGTCGAATGTTTTAGTGTATTGTCGATTTGATCACCACCTAAATGCTTTAGGGAAAGTCGAATCTCGGAATTTCTCGGAATCGAGAAAAAGATCTCCTTATAATACGACATCATGTAAGTATACACAGTTGGACGTTTTTCTCCTATTTTTATAGTTCTCGCAGTGACAGTTCAATTTTTACAGTGTTTTAAATGAAACTGTAATTTTTAATTTATTATTTTATTTCTTCTCAGATGTCTAGAGACACTTCGGAACTTGAACCAGTAACTAAGAAACGCAGAGTGGAACACTTTAACGACTCAAACAACGACGACGTGAGTCTCTTATTTTCCTACTTTAACTCTGTTGCCTTCACTACCTTACTGGAAACTTGGAAAAAATTACTATTGAAATCTAATTGTAAATCTAATTTTCATCATCACGCACGGCTTCAGTGTACATTTAGTGTTTAATTTATACACTTAATGTACAATAATACGAGCACGCTCCTTAACCACACCTCTCAATAAACGTACACCTGATATCATGATCTCGTGATTAATGAAGACATGTTAAAAATGTCCAGACAATATCATGTGACATCACAGCTACACTGCACATAGCCTACAATCTTGCTGACTCAAAATTACAATGACTTTTAAAGATTCTTTACTGCAAGGATATGACCTAGAGTCACGTTACTTAACTGGCAATTTAGTTCTTTTGCGTGATTTCATGTCTGAGTCGAAAACACAAAACTCAGAATGTGTCACGTGGCATGTAGATACGCCGCAAAGCTTGCTAAAATGATGTTAATAATATATACTACGTGCACCATCCATGCTTGTAACATTGTACTATATCTGCATTCGTTGCTAGACAGTCTCGGCTATTTGTTTATTTGATACGGATTGGTTTGTGCTGTCGTCTGTTTTGTGCTAGATCACTAAGTATTCCTCCACGTCCAGTAAACATTTCAAGTTTATCCAATTCTAACTAAATTGGATAATAAGTCTTTTGATTTTGTTTTCCTACTCGTGATTTGAGGGGGTCATAATTACAGCCAGAGGGAACCTTTTTTCCTAAATTTTATAACCTTGTTAGGACACTCTCTCATATCATGGTTCAAATCAGAAGTTGATAAATGTTAATTTAGCAGGGACAAGAGGATTTCGCGGCATGTACGAAATCGCGAAATTTCCCATTCTCCGCGACAAATTTTATGTATAGTTTAATGTATAGCCTGTTAAATTTCGCGGTACCGCGATTTTTGGCCAAAATAATCGCGAAATCCTTTTGTCCCTGTAATTTAGGTATTCAAATTTCTTATAGGAATGTAGACTGCTTTGTCAAGTCCACACGTCTAACGTAAACATGAATTTCATGAGAAGTTATTAGAATGCAAATTATCTCAGCTAAATACAACTGCGTTACGTGTGTAAATAAAAGAAGATAAGATTGAAAGTTGGTCAAGTTTAGGTTTTCATTTTAATGTGTGATCATTCGGTTACGATCAAAGAAAATAAATGATAAGTTGAAAATGGTTTCGAAGAAATTAACGTGTAATATTTTATCTAGAACCTGCCAGGATGTATACTACTGGCTGCTATACTCGCATAACATTTGTCTACTTAACTGCTCAATAATAAAAGCTGGTAATTATCCCATATTTGGACATGTAATATACTCTGTTTCCAAGGCGCTCTGTGCTCACTGTGTGCATTGCTTTTGACATTCATTTTGTAAGAGCTGCGTTATTTCTTTTCATTTCAGCTCAACCACTTTCACAGACTAACTCAGTAATTAAATCTGATCCAACAAATTATGCAGCAAATCACAAACCTACCCACATTAAACCCCTCCTAATTACTCCTAATTACACATAATTGGCTTGATTTTCTGCATAATTACTGTCTGGCAGTCGTGTGAGTAGTGTGAGTGGTTGTGTGTGTCCTGATAGTCAGAGTAATTCTATTAATAGTGTGTGTTTGTTATTCTAACGTGTGTCGTTGTTGGATGTGTGACACTCAGTAACCCAGCACTACGCTTACTCGTCACTACTTCTGCTATTTTCTGTCACGTGACCAGTGTATCTATTCACATTGAACTCACTTAGCCTGTGCTGGTACCTCCTTTGTCATACATTTATCTTAATCTCTGTTGTTGAGCAGTATACCTCAATGTACTACAAGTAACACTGTACAACAGCAGTAGTGTAGTGTGCTGACTGCTGCTTCGTTTTGTGAACTTTTGTCTCTCTTTCTCTATTTTCTAACATACGTAATTACTCAGTTTCCTGGTTATGTGGACTTTTCCAGCAGTGTCTGCTGCTGTGTACATTTCATACACTCTGCACTGCTTTATAATACATACCCAGTACCCACCTACCTTTTATTCGTACATTTAAGTTTAAAACATGACCTGGTCTAGTGGTCTTGGTAGTCACGTTACTGGCACTTCTTAGTAATAGTGCAACATATTCTTAGTAATAGTTTTAATCTTATAATAATAATTACTATTTAATTCATTACGCAACAATTCTCACGCACGTCCTAATTAGCTTTACGTTAATTAGCCGCGTAATCAAGCTTGCTGATTGAGCTCACGCTGATAAGTGATTAGAAGATGTCCGATAGAATATCCACCAGTAACAAGCCCGGTACTACTCCATGACGTCACCTCACTGTGGTAAATGCGGTGTCAAGTTACATCTGGACTCGTTAAATCTCCCAGAGTGTGTCCTGATTTTTGCGTACTCAGAATCTTGTTTCATAGCTCGCTGGGAGAAGAGAGAGAGAGAGAGAGAGAGAGAGAGAGAGAGAGAGAGAGAGAGAGAGAGAGAGAGAAAGGTATTAGGTCATCATTATGAGAACTTAACGCGGTATTCACGGACGGGAAATGAATACGGTGTCTTGTTTTAACATTTCCATACCCCGGACACAATTGAAGCTTTATATTATCTTTTAATTTGCGGCTGTGTATGTCAGATCTTATTATTGTCATATTTTTGCATTCCGTTGTACGTGACCGTTAGATGTGCTCCTTTGAAAACTTTTCTATCATTTTTACATACACTTGCTGTAACAGCGATTAAAATGACGTTATTTTATGTTAGATAACTAAGCGCATTACTAATATATAACCCAGAAACCGAAAGAAAGCTGTAACCAAGTGCGCCTCGTGTAATTTGATATTGAGATTTCTCTCTCTCTCTCTCTCTCTGTCTTGCTCTAGTTTTACTCAGCTGCAATGTGACGTGTCCGTGTTACTTAGTAACGACACACTGACCTCAGTGCTATTACTTACTCCTTACATTCGGTTGTGGCTTGTTGTTGTGCGGTTCATTTGACAGTTATCGTTAATTTTACTACGCTACATTACCGGTAGATACCTACCTTTGTTGTATGTACTGCGTGATATTTGCACAGTGTGTTGGCTACTGCCGTGAATGACTAATGTTAATCTACATTACCGGTATTTTCTATTTCCACATATTTTCTACACTGTACATTTACATTTTATAAGTCTTTAGTGCAAATTGAAACCCGATTACTGGAAAGATTTGCTTTCCCGAAAGAGTGCTGGTGGTAGGGTATTTGGCCGCGTATGTAATTGTCAGTACTTAGTTGTATAATATGTGTGCAGTCCTCTCTAGAGCCTTGTTTGCACCTGTTGCTCCGGTAACTCCTCCTCCCTCCCTCCCTCCCTCCCTCCCTCCCTCCCTCCCTCCCTCCCTCCCTCCCTCCCTCCCTCCCTCCCTCCCTCCCTCCCTCCCTCCCTCCCTCCCTCCCTCCCTCCCTCCCTCCCTCCCTCCCTCCCTCCCTCCGCAATCGTTTCCATATTTTACAAACACGTTTAGTTTCAGTTCTTGAGTCTTGACTTGTGAATCTCACAGCAGCACTGCACTTGTACTGCTGCGGGATTATCATGGCATATCATTTAATCTGAGAATTTTTGCTTTTGTAAAATTTTAGTTTCGAAAAGAGACAAAAAACATAACAATTTTGATATAAAACTCCAAAACTTCTGCCCAGCAACAGCAAATTTTAATCACATAGAAAAATATAACTAACTTTAATCTTTATCACAAACTCTACAATAATCTAGAAACATGCTAAAAATTATCAAAACCCTGCTTAAAAGTTGACAGTAAAAAAGCCAAACATCAGCGTCCACATAAAAACAGTGGGTCATCTAACCACAAATTATAAGCAAATATGTTCCTCCGTCTCACACACCGAGCTTCAAATTCTTCAATATATAAATTATTGTTTTTCTTAATGATGACGATAGAAATTTTGAAGGTACCAAACTAAAATAGATTTCATTTTTGTTACCACAGTGTTGTCCAGAATTGGGTATTTCACATTCGTCACATGATGACCGCCTCGTCCAGAACAGTAGTCCAAAATAACCAGCGAGTACCTAGATATATGTTGCTTTTAATTTTCGTTGCTTCAGTATCCAGTTAAAACTTTAGGAGAATGTTTGAAACTAATAAAATGGTTGTTAAGAAATATTTCATACAGACTACAGACTGATAAATTAATTAAGATTAAATTAATTAATTAAGATTAAATTAATTAATTAAGATTAAATTAATTAATTAAGATTAAATTAATTAATTAAGATTAAATTAATTAATTAAGATTAAATTAATTAATTAAGATTAAATTAATTAATTAAGATTAAATTAAAATTAATTAAGATTAAATTAATTAATTAAGATTAAATTAATTAATTAAGATTAAATTAATTAATTAAGATTAAATTAATTAATTAAGATTAAATCACTCTGACAGTCTAAGGCAGTCTTACCAGTAAGCGAGAATTGCTAGAACCTCAACAAGAAACCTACAAGTGAGAGACGTGATCCCGCTAGAGTTGTGACCGCTGCACAATTGTTCTCACTGCCATCTGCTTGGCCATCTACTCCAAATTCCTCTTTTCCTTCTTCTTCTCCTTCTGTTCTTCCTTCTTCTTCTTTTCCTTCTTCTTCATATCCTTTTCCTTCTTCTTCTTCTCCTTCTGTTCCTTCTTCTTCTTCTTCTTCTGTTCCTTCTTCTTCTTCTCCTTCTGTTCCTTCTTCTTCTTTTTCTTTTACTTCTTCATTTTCTTCTTTCTCTCCGTCTTCATATCCTTTTCCTTTTTCTTTTTCTTTTCCTTCCTCAAGAGTACAAATCTCCGCATCACTTTTTGAAGTAACGTTCGTACCCTCTTCACAACTTCCAGTGCCGTTAACGACTTTACAACACTCACTATTAAAAACGTGCTTCGTAACAGGAAAAATTCCATCTCCGTTTCCATATGGTCTGGCTTTTATATCCCCTCCAAACAAACTGTTAAAGGTTTGAAGGATTTGCTTGCTTACATGGATATTCCCTACTTCAGTATCAGAGTGATCGTATACAATCCATAGGATGTTAGGTTTGCACTGGTCGTCCTTGTCTGTCAGGGTCCCATAGTAAGTGTACAAAGTTTTGGTATCCGGGGGAAAGAAGACTGAGAGAGCCAATTCCTGGTAATAGTAGCGAGCGCTCAGCATGCCAGTCAAGTAATAACTCGCGGACTTAGTTGCGTTTGGTTCGTAAGTGCTTTCAGTTATGAAGTCTGACAGTTGGTAAAGTATTGAGAGGGCTACGTAATAATCTGGTGCGTTTTCATCCTCACGATCTAGATTCCGGCCATGCAGCTGCACCTCGACATAGTTCCCCTTACTGTTCATCAATCTGTGTTGCAAGGTTGGAGGATCGGAGGCTGTTATTTTCAGATACTCAAACTCTATTCCTTTTCCTGTTCCAACCATGAAGTATGACGGGAAAACTATTGTTACCTTTTTAGAGAAGGGTACTTCTGGAGTTTTAGTGGCCCCATCCGGAGTATATGGAAATATGGCTGTTGCTGAAGGGAGTGTAAGGAGGGCAGATTGGTTCTCTTTGTAATAACGGGTCCTATCTTGCTTCTTGATGTAGATGGGAGAGAGCTTTCCGCTACTAGGATCACAATCTGCTGACACATTTGATGCCAGCAGAGCAAGCGATATCGCCAGCATATCCTATCACTGCAGCTGGGCAGAAAAAGATTTAGGTGCCTTGTATAGGATTATTTTTAGAGCTTTTTTTTGTTATCAATAACAGATACCGCCTCACCGCAGGCGTGCATGATCTATAGTAAGCAGAGTATATGTTGTTATATACCGTTTACGTGTGCCAGCTGTACATGCCCGTATAATTTCAATTATTGAACCAAATATAGATAAAATGTAGCCTCTTAATAGGGCTACATTTTATCTTTATAATTTCGTTAAAGTAAGACACGGGGGTAAATGCATTGTAAACTGATAAAAAGTAATAATTACATCTGGGTTCCTTAAAACAGTATACAGAAAAGAAAGGTATCTTTCCATTTAGTTAAAGTTCTACCATCGATTCGTCTGAAAAAAAACCATCGATTAATCCGAAAAGACGGAATAAAAATCTTATTCTAAAGCAAATATAAGTCGGTTTACAAACAAAAGCTGACTTGTCGATATGTCATCTTCTCTGTCCCTTTGACCAACAAGGTATTCGTCTCAGCTCCTCCTCAGACGCAACAATCGTAGGACTCCTATTCTGCTCTTCTTCTAACAAACTTGCTCAGCTCCTCCTCTCCCTTTTCCACCACTTCTTCCTGAGAACCGGATCTGCTGTGGCCCAGTTGTTTTGCAAACCATTCAGCAGGGATACCCTGAGCGTCACACAACTCCGGCGTCATGTAGAGTAGAACACTCAGTAGGAGAAGTAACTTTCCTGCTCGACAAGTCATATCCTATTTGTGAGAAATATGTTAAATTTGCTGATTTTTAGTTATCATGAAATTCAAGTTAACAGATTTTTGAAATTTCTAAAAATCAACATTTTTGAAGATAGGACTGTACTATCTGTACTGTCTGTCTATATTCATTCTACCTTGATATTTTATGCATTTTAGTTTTAGAGTAAGACACTGCCATGAAATAATATGAGTTTACAAAAGCGAATTTTAGTAGGTTTTTAATAATGTGTTGTCTTCTTGGTTCCTTTCATCGGTCCCAAGCTTCTTCTCAGTCTCAAGCTACGTCTTAGGTCTTCGGACTCCCTTTAAACACTCAGGGCCATTAATCAGCTCCCCACTTGCAGGGCCTCTAATCAGCTCGCCGTCTAACAAATTTGCTCAGCTCCTTGTCTCCCATCTCCACAACTTCCTCCTGAGAAGCAGATCCGCCCATGTGCTTGGCAAACCAGTCAGCAGCAAATTGTCCCTGCGCTTCACATAGTTCCGGGGTCATGTAGAGTAGAACACTCAGGAGGAGTAGTAGTTTTCCTGCTCGACAAGTCATATCCTTTCTGAGTGAAATTTGTTAAATGGGTGCACTCGATTTTTAATTGTCATCATGGAACTAAGCTACCATAGAGAAAAGAGCTTCAAATTTTGAGAATTTTGTATTTCAAAAAAATCTAAAATCCTTGAGGATAGGGCAGAGGGCTATATTCTACGGACACAGATATGAACACATTGTCAATATTAGTTAATATTTATTTATGTCATTCAAAAGTGAATTTAAGTCGGGGGCAATAATTTGCTGTCTTCACTCTTCTCTAGCTCTGTTCCTTTTATCGGTCCCCCTGAAAGGGCCTCTAATCAGCTCCCCACTTGCAGGGCCTCTATTCACCTCGCCGTCTAACAAATTCACTCAGCTCCTCGTCTTCTATCTCCACAACTTCCTCCTGAGAAGCAGATCCGCCCATGTGCTTGGCAAACCAGTCAGCATCAAGAACTCCCTGCGCTTCACATAGTTCCGGGGTCATGTAGAGTAGAACACTCAGGAGGAGTAGTAGTTTTCCTGCTCGACAAGTCATATCCTTTCTGAGTGAAATACGTTAAATGGGTGAAATTGATTCTTAATTATATCAAGGGATTAACATCTGAGTGATCAGCTTCAATTTCTGGGTATTGTTGTAATTCAATGCTTGTAGGGACTCAATGGCAACTGGCAAACGTTCTTAAGAAAAACTGGCCTGAGAGTCGAGAGATAGCCATACTGATAAAACAGCAAAAACAGACGTATCTGATCGTGTACTAACTTGGCCCAATCTTAGCCAATTTATATCTATGTCCACGTGACGCGTTACGAGAGGTGACTCAAACGCTCACTTCTGTAAAATCTCAATTCTGGTGGTGGTGGTGTCCGCTTTAAATACCGAACTTTGGCATTTAAGACCAGATTTGGCAACAATGGAACTAAATACCATAATACGATATTTACTCTCCTTTTTGTTTTGCTATTTAACGGAGACTGCCAAATTGTAAAGCTTTCGAACTTATATCTGTGCCCATGTAAATGACTAATCTTAAAACACTCGAATCTTTGCGCATTTAAAAGGCTATGAAAAGGCAACTATTTACAGTAATTATACCAAATTTTTGCGAAGCGGGACCATTTTGGTCGAACAATTGCCTCTGTGTTATTAACAAAGATTTCGAACTTTATTGTCGTCATGGATTCCCATAAAAGGTCAATTTATAGTTCCTCTTAATGCGTTCAAATAATCTGGACTGTCTTTTCGATGAATTACATTTATACTGGTAATCTTTTTTCGCTCTTATGAGTAAGTGGGTCAATCATTAATTTAGAATTGTAGTTGACGAAGTGAGAGTCTCCACTCAGTGTGTTAAAACATAATTCTTTGTCGACGTTTCGGCTACATGCCTTAGTCATAGACAGGACGTATTGATAACTTACATAGCTCAATAAATGTAATAGATTTGTAGTGACATTGTAATTAGTTTAAAAACACAACACTACAAATCTATTACATTTATTGAGCTATGTAAGTTATCAATACGTCCTGTCTATGACAAAGGCATGTAGCCGAAACGTCGACAAAGAATTATGTTTTAACACACTGAGTGGAGACTCTCACTTCGTCAACTACAATTCAAAATAGAATTACATTCATGTCATATTTCGTGAAATACGCTCAGATATACAGGGTGATTCAAAAATAATGTTTGAATTTTTATGATAAATATTTTTATGAAGGAGAACATTTTTAAATATGAGTTGCTATCAATTCATATAAACGTAATGACTAATGAGTTTCATTCTGACTTCTCATTTTATACTGATTCATTATTTGGTTGATTTATCACAAACTTCCAAAAAGTTTGAAAATCTTGGACCTGATTTTTTGACGATTTTTAGAATCACCCTGTATATCCCCTAAAATTACTGTTGTGGACCGGGGTTCATGACGTTAAAATATAACGGGAATTTTAACTTTTTTCATTCTTGCTGAACATTAAATATTCAATCGACCGTACAGACCTACCCACGTCCCACAGCGCTGAGATTTGAATTAAGTTTTAAACAATTATTCATTAATAATAAATCAGTCATCTGAAACGGCTTGAGCGCTGGTATCAATAGTCAAAAAGGTCTGACAGTAGAGATAACATCACAAAACTAGTGGAGCACTCAAGGAAAATAAGCACAGGACACAAACATGCCTGTTTTCTAGCTATTTATAAGTTTTAAGTTGTGTCGATATTGCTTACTTATTTACTTAGCTGACGCTGATTGTATCAACTCTGTAGAAACGCTCTAAAACTTCTTAGGTTATTTTAAGAAAATACGATAAACTCTTCGCTATCTAATGCCTAATGGATTTTAATGTCACCACTTATCGCAGATGAGGCTCCTTTTATGCATCGATCAAGGGTATTACGGCGTGAGAAACGTTTTCAAGGGGGCTACCAACATGAAAGGGGGCAAATCAGAACCACTCACAATGTCATTAAAGTTGTAGGACGACACAAAATCGTATTTCTCATCTAACGTGCCTTTATTTATCATGATACCACTTTCATTTATTGAATGCTCGACTAAAAATGTGGGGAGAAAACTTTCAGAAAAACTAGAAATTACTTAATCTGAACCAAGCTTGATGATCGGTTTGGATCTTTCACATATTGCGTAAGCGGAATTTCGGTCATTGTAGACATCTCAGCTTCCCCTCTGTCAGCCACTTTACGTAGAAATTACAGTAACTTTTCTTAATCCCTCTTTCCTAGGTGACGATCACTTATTGATAATGGAAATAATGAGCAATTCAGTTATTCTTATCATTAATTGTTTTTCAATTTTATAGGTAGAGATGCAGCAAAGTAATGGTAATGGTTCAACTACTGCGACAAATGGTGACATCGACGAAAGTCTCTACTCGAGGCAGCTGTAAGTAATAACTTGACTTCTAGTAAGGGCCGGGGGGACGGGGGTGGTTCCAAAGGTGAAAATTGGGACCCACCCCCCTATAGTGAGATCTTTTGGACCTTTTCGTACTATCCTCAATATGGGATTTAAGGGGTATACACAAAAACAGGGGTTTGACCATCTCACCATCTAGCGCACCGATTCCAACATAAAAAAATTAATTTCGAGAACGATCATTTCTGTAATCGACCATTTCCTGGTCAAAGTGCATTTTTCGGAAAAACACGATTTGTTTCATGGAGAGGCTATAAGTTAATCATTTCTTGTGGTGTCGAGTTGACATTTTGCTTGAAGTTTATTCATATCTAGTTCAAGGTGTGTGTAAAATCTTGATATCGTATCTGAAAAGTCAGTCAGGGAACATCGGATTGTTTTGATGCTTGACATGAAATTGTTCTCTGAATCCTGGCGCATTTTTGATGCCCTCAAAAATGTGTTTATTCAACTGGAAAGTTGATCTTTTGCACCTCAAAGCCAAACAACAACTTTAGGCACATTTTTCGTTTATCATAATTACAGATTTTTCTAAAATGTCTATAGGAATGTGCTAGAGACTTTTAGATGGGTGCAAAATAACCGTAACTAGCACATTTATATATGAGTTATAAACAACAAAACACCCTAAAATGCTTCCTTTTAAAGTTATATAATCAAGAGGCTTGCATATGAACATATTGCCATGGGTGTAGAGTTGAGCCTGTACGGAACCTAGTAGTTTCAGTTCCTTGTTTAACTTATGGTAAAAAAAGTAATTTTTTATCTGCAAAGCCAAAACATCACAAATTTATAAAAACGCAGCCTTTTCAGATACGATATCAAGATTTTACACACACCTTGAACTAGATATGAATAAACTTCGAGCAAAATGTCAACTCGACAACACAAGAAATGGTTAACTTATAGCCTCTCCATGAAACAAATCGTGTTTTTCCGATAAATGCACTTTGACCAGGAAATGGTCGATTACAGAAATGAGTGTTCTCGAAATCAAATTTTTTGGGTTGGAATCGGTGCGCTAGATGGTCAGTGAACTTCCTGTGAGGTCATTTGGGTTGGCCAATTTTGGTGTATACCCCTTAATATACCGGCGGGGTTATTTTAGTATTTAGTGCCGGTCATTAAGTATGATTTTGTATTAAAAGTTGAAATATCCTGCAACCTTGGAAGCAGATAATATGAACAACTTTACCTTATCTCATCTCCTTTGATACCTTTGATCCATAATTACTGTTCTTCTCTTTTCTAAAAACAAAGCTTTTCCGCCTGTTTTATCTTTACAAGTCACGTGATTCAAATATGTGTATCTTTACAAGTCATGTGTTTAAGGTACGTGTTGGGACATGAAGCCATGAGGAAGATGGCAGAAAGCAGCATACTAGTATGTGGGCTCGGGGGTCTGGGTGTGGAGATAGCAAAAGATATCATCTTGAGTGGAGTGAAAGCTGTTACTCTCCAGGACACTAAGCTTACCTCATATGAGGACCTCTCATCTCAGGTACTCTTTCTTTTAAAATATCATCGGGAATATTGTTTGTTGTGCTTTGAGACATGTGACACGATTGATTTTGTTGAAATAGTTCAGTTACAAATATTGACAATTTTGGCAGTATCCAAGAAGCCCGACATGACACTGTTAGTAGAATTCTACAACTACTGAACTAGAAACAAACTAACAACTCAAAACCAATTTCTAATTAGAAGGGAAAAAGATATTTCCGGTGTCATACGTCATGACGTATGACATCTATTTTTGGAAATGTCGAGAAGTTGCACAATTCTCTTGCCATAAGGTTAGAGATAATCTAGCTCGTTGCGCGCCCTCCAAACTTTGATTAATGACCGACGAGATTATCTGCCCTCTAATTTCTCCATTCGTTCTTTCGTGTTGCAAAATAATTTTTGCAAAATAAATATTCACTACTGGACCTTCTGGGCTCTGGCTTCTTGGGTACAGTCGAATTTATTTTATGTTGAACGAACACTTCCTCTGTCCCCAGTTTTTCCTGAGAGAGCGTGACATTGGCAAGAACAGAGCTGAAGCGTCTCACCCTCGTCTGGTAGAACTGAACGAATACGTCTCCACCACCTGCACCATAGAGGCCGTCACCACTGATCTGGTCTCCAAGTTCAGTGTGGTGGTCCTCACCGACTCGTCACGTGACGAACAACTCAACATCGGAGATTTCTGTCATGCCAACAACATCAAGTTTATTTGCGCCAACACTACCGGCGTCTTCGGGTTAGTTAATTTCTGGGTTCGGTTTAGATTTTATCGTATAGTAGTAACTTTTCGGCTGAACCTGGTTTTGATCGTTCTTCGGGAGAATAATTTTGTTTGGAACAAATCATTAATTTAAAAACAAAGAAAATTTACTAACCAAATGGCAATTGATTAATAACTACAAGCTTACTATTACCAAATCCTACAGGAACATTTTCTGTGATTTCGGAGAAGACTTCAAAGTAATTGACACAAACGGAGAGTCAGTGTTGTCAGTGATGATTGCGGCGGTCACTAAAGATGGAGACGGTATCGTGACTTGTCTCGATGAGAAGAGACACGGATTCGAGGATGGAGACTACGTTACTTTTCACGAGGTATTGAGATTTATTTTAAATAAACATGTTTTAATCATTCTCAGTTTAAAGAAATAGTTCAAATTAATTATCAATTTATCCCAAACAATGGAACTTGAGATGATTCATAACACAACTTTGTTTATGTTATAACAGTGTTTTTAAAGGTGTTAAAATAACCCGTCCACTCTGGTTACCACGATGTGCCTCACTTATATAACACATAACACCGGCGCGCAGGATAACCCAGAGTGCATAGCACGGGGGATTGTTATGTTTTTCTAGATAGACTCAGTGATAACAATTCTCTAAGTAACAGAACATTCAAGTAGTAGGTCATTGGATATGCGTCATCAGAACGCGTGACATATTAGTAGCCAACAGTGGGGAAATTAAAACTAGGCTAAGTCAAAGACGAGATATCACCCAACAAACCGAACCGGGTTCAGTGAATAAGGGGTTGAATTATTAAAACTGTGTGCAGGGATTATTTATTAAGCGGAAAATAACAGCGGGCTGGATCAAATAACGCTGCCCCTTATTTTCTATCCCGTCTCTTAGCAGTTAGCTTTTAGCAGCATCCCGGAGGTGTTTATGATACGCTAAAAAATTACATGGTGTTAAAACGCTGTTAACTTTGTCTTTAAACTATTGTATCCAGGTGGGAGGTATGGTGGAACTGAACGAATGTACGCCACGAAAGATAGAGGTAAAGGGACCGTACACCTTCAGTATTGGAGACTGCAGTGATCTCTCTGACTACACTCGAGGTGGTATCGTGACTCAGGTCAAGATGCCAACTTCCGTTCACTTTGTGAGTTCTTCATACTTCACTCTTACTTCGTTATTTGATTTATCCTTGACTTAATGAGTCCGGGATATTCCCTAGAATATTCCTCAGCGTTTTGTTACTCAAAGTAACCACCTAGCAGTGTATGTTTCTTGTTTTCTAAAATTATTATGTGATTCATTTTCTGACTTATTAACGTTTAACACCCTGTGCCTATCCCAGAAATCAATGAGGGACGCACTGAAGGACCCGGAGATTCTGCCAACAGATTTCGCTAAATGGGAGCAACCATACCAACATCACATCTGTTACCTCGCTCTGGTAGAGTTCCAGAAATCAGCCGGAAGAAATCCCAAACCCTACAACGCTGAAGATAATGCTACCTTCGTTAACTTATGTAATCAAGTTAACGATAAATATTCCTTGGGTCTCGAGGTAATCATTGTTTTAGTTAATTGTGGGAATTGTCTTATCTTCATAATCTCAGATCCTAATGATTATTTGTGCCAACTCATTTGTCAAATTTATTGGACGAAGGAACAACCAAATACTTCGTACCCAAAGTATTCGTTATATTTCCGCTGGTTGATAGTGATAATTACGACCACTCCCCTGATTCTCGAATCTCGATAGAATAATATTTGAACGCAATAAAAAGAGCCCAAACGTGATCTGAATTAAATGAAGACAGAAAATCTAAAAATGTTCCTTAATTAAATTGCTCTCACCACCACCCGTTCCCCAGGTTAACGCTGCCCTATGTGAGGAATTCGCTAACGGCTGCTCCGGACAGCTGGTAGGCGTACAGGCGTTTATTGGAGGATCAACCGCTCAAGAAGTTATGAAGGCATGCTCGGGCAAGTTCATGCCTACAAAGCAGTGGCTTTACTTTGACTGTACAGAGGTCATACCACAGGTTTGTACACTACACTAAACGATAACACATGCACACCATGTTAAACCACGCCGCCTATATATACATATTATATATGTATAATATTACCTTGTGTTAATAAAATCAGCGTACAGTGAACTCTAATCCACCATAACCCCACCCAACTAATATCCCTTCATCTTCCAACCAGCCTTTCAATTACCGTTCATTACCTTCAATTACCTTTTAATTACCGGTCATAACTCCACTAGGGTTTGAAAGAAGCAGACTGCGAACCTTCAGACTCTAGGTACGACGGCCAGGTTCTGTGTCTTGGTAAGGAACTGAACGCTAAGATCGCTGATCAGAAGTGGTTTGTTGTCGGAGCTGGAGCTATTGGCTGTGAGCTTCTCAAGAATTTCGCTATGATGGGGGTAAGCCTTTGAAAGTTAGCCTCAACAGTTATAATCCTCCAGAGGGTATAGGAGACCGACAGTGTTTGTTATCTTCCACTACTCCCGAAATTTCACCGCCGTGGCCAATAAAGTAGTGACAGAGCTTGCTAATTTTTAATGGAACGTGTCCAAAATCATTTTTAAAGCAATTCATGATCGAATACTAGTGTTCAATAATTGTTTGATGAATCATATTTATATCTTACTATATTGATTAGTTGATAGTAAATCGATTAAGTCACAATTAAGGAAAATACGTGAAAAATAATCTGGGGAAAATAATGATGGTGACCTAAATTTTGGTTGTCCGAAAATATGGTGTGTTTTTTCTCGAAAAACCACCGACTTTCGTACCATTTAAATATGTCTCGTACGGCAGTTAACATATTTGTCTTGGGTCGTGGTGTACAGCTACTGTCCCACGCTTCCAGGCTATGTGTCACATAAGACTCCGTGCATTAAAACGGGTGTACGAGAGAAACATTATATGTAATTTTAGAACGCACAGTAAATGTATAAACCGTCAAGTAAAGTTGCAGGGATTGGATTTAAGTACTTCAGACGACGTCCTGGACTGGATAGATGTTTGTTAGTACTAAGTTGTCACACACACAAATTACACATTTCCTCACAGGTTGGTCACAACAAAGGAATGTTAACTGTAACAGACATGGACACGATTGAGAGGAGTAATCTCAACAGACAGTTCCTTTTCCGATCCTGGGATGTAACTGTAAGCACTGTTTACACTGTTTGTGTGTGGAATTTCAATCATCTTAGGAATTCCCAAAGTACCCGATCGTTCGCCTGAACTATTTAGATTATGCAGGGTTCGTGTTCATGTTCTAGAACTTAACACGTGACTGTGAGAATTGTTAATAACTCACACTCTCTCTCTCTCTCTCCAGAAAATGAAGTCAGACACAGCGTGTAACGCAGTGAAGGAAATGAACCCTGATATCAATGTTACATCACATCAGAACAGAGTTGGTCCTGAAACTGAGAAGGTTTGTCATTAAGTAGCAATGATATATTTGACTTGAGGAGGAAACTATGCTGCAATGTACTGCTGAAAACGCATGGAAAATCACGCGGTCACAAATTGCTTATATAATTGTACACACATTGTCACATTGATCACATTCGGCCACTATCCTATCAGAACCTAATTTCATTTCAACACCATCAGTCTCGGTACTCTGTTTGCAAGAGCAGTTCATTCTATACTCTCCAATAATGAAAGCTACACTGCCTACCACTCAATTCCAGTTTCACATTAGATCTAATTATTAATGTGAAGATAACAATTATTGTGACATCAGTTCCGTTCTCAGTTGGGATTATTGGTTAGCATCTTTTTGTGTGTAACATTGCCTGGAGCCCCATCCCTGACATCATTTCTATTTTCAGGTCTACACAGACAGCTTCTTTGCTGACCTAAACGGGGTAGCCAACGCTTTGGATAACGTGGATGCTCGGAGTTACATGGACAGGCGATGTGTGTACTACAAACTGCCTCTCCTCGAATCAGGAACATTGGGCACCAAAGGAAATGTTCAGGTACACTGCCCTATAGCAAGAATACTCTACACCGTTACATTCCTGTGATTTGCATTGAATTTCGATGTGATGTTATTCATGACTGCCTAATTAGGCATATTAATAGACGTGTATGCTTGCCGTGCGAAAGATTTATCACATATTATCGTTTTAAAGTTTCCAGATTGTTCTAACCTCTCGACACACCTCAGATCGTTCTGCCCCACATTACAGAATCCTACTCTTCATCTCAAGATCCCCCTGAGAAGACAATACCTATGTGCACACTAAAGAATTTCCCTAATGCAATTGAACATACGATACAATGGGCCAGAGATCAGTTCGAGGGGCTCTTCACCAAGACAGCTGAGAACTGCCACAAGTTTATAACGTAAGTGGAGCCCGGTAACGCCACCTTTTGTACTCTGTTCAAATTCCGTTTATCGTTAGATACTGTTGAAATAACGGCATTAAATTTGTCATGTTGTTTAAAAATGTTGGACTCGGGTATTTAATCATTAGCGAACGGTCTAATCGTGTACCACTTTGTAAACTTTACATTTTCAGGGAGCCAAAGTTCCTAGAAAAGCAAAAGAGTGGCGGAGCATTGGTGAGAGAAAGCTTTTTGTTATTTTAAATGCCCTATTTAGCGAATCGGTCACAAAATTTAGCTTTTGAGAAAACATCTTCGGCGACTAGCAAGCATAGTCAGGAAAAGAATGCAGAAGACAACATTTGCCTTGCGCGGCTCGTGCCGCGCGCTTATTTATGATATTGAAGTATGATCGAGGCAAGTATACAAAAAATAATACAAATTGAGTCTAAGTAAATCAAAATCAAAGTGGAATAGAATTTTATTCCAACGATTGAAGTTAGTATATAATTAAATAATCGGCTCGACCATATATTCAATACTTGATTCTTAATTATAGTGTAACTTGTAAGTACTGATTTTAAAACGTTAAAATTTTAGATTGCCATCTTGGAAGGCCTTCGCAAAGACCTCGGAACGGACAAGCCTGACGATTTTACGGATTGTATAAGATGGGCCAGGATGCTTTTTGAAGAGAATTTCCACAACACGATAGCTCAACTATTGTACAACTTCCCACCGGATCAGAAGACTAGCTCCGGTGCCCCCTTCTGGTCAGGTCCTAAACGTTGTCCTGCCGCTATCAACTTCGACGCCAACAACGTAAGTTTATCATTTTAATTTTTAAAGTGGACTATTAGTGTTTCTTTGTATGTAGTATATCACTTTTTAATGTAATGGTTTACCTGCTGATTTGATTCGAAACTTTCATCAAATAATACAGAGCTATTCAACATGGAAACAATAAAAGTGTTTCTTTAACTAAATCTAGATACATTTCAGAGCGAACACTTAGACTTCGTCGTTGCTGCAGCTAACTTGAGAGCTTATAACTACTCCATCCCAACGAACAGGAGTAGAGATTTTATCAAAGGGCATGTCACTAACATTACAGTTCCGCCATTTAAACCCAGATCAGGTTCCTTTATTTTTTATTCTTAATCATTTGAATGGTTTTCTTCTCCAAACATGTAGATATTCACGATGATACATTTCGTTCTTCCAGTTGATTCTTTGTACTGTTCAAATAACAAATGCATGTTTTAACAGGTGTAAAGATAGCAGTTACTGAAGCTGAAGCAGAGAACATGAATAATGATGAAGAATCTGACAGCGACAAGGCGAAAAGTATTTTGGGAGAGCTCAATGCCAAGATGGATCAATTGAGATCTCTTAACATACAAGTTGCCGACTTCGAAAAGGTTTGGCGGAATTTAGATTACATTTTATATCGGATATGTGGTCGTGACTTTTTTAAACATGTCGCTGAGTACAAGTTTTATCTTAAAAGTGTATGTTGCTGAGTAAAAGTGGTATGAAGTGGTGCTGACAATATCTTCCTCAGGACGACGATACGAATTTCCACATGGACTTCATCACAGCTTGTTCCAATGCAAGAGCATCAAGCTACAGAATTGCTGCAGCTAACAAACACAAAACTAAACTCATCGCTGGAAAAATCATCCCTGCAATAGCCACGACGACTGCAGTAGTAGCTGGTCTTGTCAGTATTGAGATGTACAAAATGATTCAAGGACTCAAAGATGTTGAGAAATATAAGAACGCATTCTTGAACTTGGCGCTGCCATTCTATGCATTTTCAGAACCGATATTAGCACCAAAGAACAAATATTACGACGTAGAGTGGACTCTGTGGGACAGATATGATATACAGGGTGATATAACTCTGCAAGAACTATTAGACATCTTTGAAAACGAGCATAAGTTAGAGATATCAATGTTGTCTCAAGGAGTATGTATGTTATACGCGTTCTTCATGCCTGCCGACAAACGAAAAGAACGATGTGGAATGAAGTAAGTGCACTGATCCAACTCCGTAATAATCCAATTAAAGTCTAGAATGTTCCAATCTAACACTCATGACTTGATTTAAAAACTGAATCCATTAATTAACATGGCATGTTCTCAGGTTATCCGCACTGGTTGAGTTAGTCACAAAGAAGAAGTTGCCCGCACACAAACGAGCCCTAGTTCTGGAGATTTGCTGCAACGACTCGGAAGGGGAGGATGTCGATACTCCCTACATCAACTACTCTCTCCCCTAAACTACAGATTCTAACTTAAAAACTGATGTGACCCGGATGAGGTCAGACCGGGTTAATATGAGGTTAAATGTTATATATGTCATAGCGCCATTGTTTGCTGAAAAGCAGGCGGCCTTGTTTCTGCAGCGAATTTTTAATCTATATTTGGTATGACGTTTCGAGGCTGTATTGTTGGTACTTGTTGCGCGAATTTACACAGCTTGACTTGAATATTTAATGGAGATAACAAAATTTGGAGGGGGTAATCTTTCTTAAACAATCTCAAGTTTAGGATCGAGTGGGTTTTATAATTCAAGTGCTTTTTGGTCACTGAATAATTATTAATTTGATAAAAATGAACACAAGTTTACTGAATCATAGATTTTAAATGTGTCCTCGATCAAGAGAAAGCGTTCATAATGGACCAGCTAAAAATTGGTTGTTTGAAAGACGTTGAAGTGTTTCTAATGTGTTGGTGACTGTTTATTTGACACCATGTATCAATTTCAATTTGCTTACGAGAAAGTAAAATGTTTTCATTATTACTACCGCGGTATTGGGTATGCCCGTCCTACAGACTACAGACTTAATATGTAATAGTCCTGATTTGAAAATAAAAGTCTATTTTGGTACAATAAAAAATCAAACCACCCAGTCAGAGCTTTAATGATATAACCCTCTATTTCGCTTTCTCCTTTAAGTTGAATGCGGGTGTACTTACACAGTGACTTGACGCGGACGTAAGGAATAAGATTATGCAGACGATCAGTAATCAGTATGAACAAATATGATCATTGATGAGGTTGTCAAATCTCAGAAACGATCGCCAAATATTTTTAAAAGCCAGCTTAACAAAATCAACAAGAATTGCGCCCGTTGTTCCGTTTTGGCGAACGCTAGATTTCCATTCAGTATGCCTATAACTTGAGTATAACTATGCCTATAACTTGAGTATAGTATAACATATGAACCTGCACATGCAACAATGGGCCAAGTAACTTGGCCCGGTTTTTATTTTGTTGCTAGAAGTGATCAGGATGCCAAGACGCATCTACATGTCAATTTTGAACAAAATCGGTAGGTAGTGCGCCATCGATAGTGAGCCGCGCGTGCCGACTGTAGGATGGTTTTTTAGCGCTAATTTCGGCCAGCACAATTTTCTTCAAACAAATAGATATTAAGTATCCTTCCCGACCTCCGATTGCAACAAAAATTGGTAAGCTTACTCATAGACTTACAAGGAAAGTGTCCGAAAAGTTTAAAGCATATCCAACCATCAGACATTATGTTACAGCTAAAAGCACCGTATTTTGCCCCATTTTGATCACTATATCAACTCTGATATCCACCAAATTTTTCGGACAGTTGTGAAAGCCCTATTGGAAGGTCGTCGCCAATTTTCAGAATGATCTCATTCAAGGAACTAAAGATATATCCAAATAATACGACAAAAACCAACGAATTTGGTCAAATTTGGTCAAATTACGCGACTTTTACAGCTAATTTTGCTCCAAAAGCCGCGCACCATCAAATATGGCACCTAGACGAAACTCACTGATTTTTCCAAAAAGGTATGACAAATTTGGTACTGTGAAAATTCTCACAGTCTCTAGCAACATTTTAGAAAATTCAGCCCTTTCAATAGTGGGCTATATAATGTGGATCTCTACTTCAATCTAAGTTATGCAGTTCAAGAATGGGCTAGCTAACATAGCCCGAGATAATAATTAAGCTGTGCTTCTTCGCAGGTGGGCCAAGTTAATGTGGCCCGTTATTGTATAGGTATGAGATTACTTCCATTAAAAATAGTTGCTGGTCTATGTTACATGGCCCATATCCTTTTATATGAATGGGTGGGCCAAGTAATGTAGACCATTGATTCACGATGTCAATCCTTCGCATCTCGCCGATCTGCATACATGTGGTTGCGAGAAGCATTATTGGATGCGCGCGCGCGACCCAGTAGTGCATCGCGCTACAATGTAGACCACATAAGTTTATTGGAAATCTGCGAGCCATGTAACTTTTTGCCAGATGCAGACGAAACTATTTACAATTTTGCTTTAAAAATTAATGTGCCTAATGGGCCAACCGAATACCTAACCCACGAACAAAATTTTTTGATGATCCAACATATCCTGTAAAAATGGGAAAGTTTTTTCCGTTTATCTCAAAACCACTAAAAACTACTTGGCCCATTGTTGCATGTGCAGGTTCATATATATAATAAGCTCTAATCAGCTCACTTCATAATAATAATATATCGCATAGCCATAATAAATGAGTACTCGCAGTACGAGTAGACTCATTTATCATGGCTATGTGAACCGCGCATTCACTGACCACAGGTTCAAGGTTATACATCAATTTTGACATACGTTGCATGCCACTTTTCGCGCGCGATATTTGGATACGAAACATGTATCAACATCAATTAACGGGTGATACTCGTAAAATATCTGTTCCATATATTGGACCGTCGACGAGTCCAACTCGGCGCGCGTCCTGGTAGGTTGTAAACCTACAATACATCAACCTTTGACCTTGCGAAGCAAGAATGCTAGCTTTGCGCGGCGCGTCGAAGCGGCGAAGTCCTCTGCAACCTTAACTAATAACTTACTTGTCATACGTTGTATGACCCGCCGCGCACAAAGTGCGCGGCTCCCCCTGTATCGATAGTGAAACGACCGTGGGGTCACAACGTGATACAATAACTAATTACCTGTTGTAGGTTAAAACCTACCAGGACGCGCGCCGAGTTGGACTCGTCGACGGTCCTGAATATGGAACAAATATTTTACAAGCATCACCCGTTAACTTACCTGGGGACCTCAGGCTATTATATTTATGTTCATAATCATAGAATAGAGATTAAGCGGAATCACAGGCTGATCGCCCGGCCCAGCTTCTTTCACGTATTTCAGGAACTACCTTGAAAAAAGCGCCTCGCTCAAAGATTGGTGTGCCGGGTTTTAAAAAATTGCATCGTCGATCACTATAATGATGATGAAAGCAAGCTTCTAAATTCGGGATAGCCTGTGGCAGGCAACGCCCGATTCTAATGCTTCTACAGGCCTACACAAGTGTAAGTAAGTAGGTAAATATTTCATGCTAGGCATGTGGCACCCATTACGGTAACCATCCATTGAGTTTTTGCTTTTTCGCTGTACTATATTGCACAGCTCCCCATTTAACCCTCACACACGATTTCTCGAGCATTCGGCTGGGTGGACCGGGAGGCTGCATAAATCCTATGGGATCCTTAGCAGAACGTCGACGACGCTCACCCCACGACTAGGTAGACAGCCGGTATTGAACTTGCAACCTCACGATTGCTGGCGTTCTAAGAACTGCGTTCTAACCAACTGAGCTACCTGGCCGTTAATAAATCACTATCAATCATCAATCGATCACTATAAATGATAAACAATAAAATGTGAACCAATAAACAACTACTCTCTGTTATAATAACTAGCAGGAACCCGTTTAATTTAACCCTTGTAGCGCAATGCACTACTGGGCTGCGCATCAAATAATTCTTAGATATCGGTGATATACACCTTCTATTTCGGGCCTTACTGACATCGTGAATCAAATCCGACCCTAAAGTGGTGTCAAGACTCAAAAGACTAAAATAAATACTACCTGTTTAATTTGCGTTTTTGACACCACCTGGGGATCAAAATTTTGGGCTCTAAAACTACTATTTCTTGGCCAATTTTTAAATTTTTTCATACTGATTTGGAGGCCATTAAAGCATTTGACCCAGTCAAAAAATTTCAGTTCATGTTTATCTTTTACATTATTGTTTTTGCGGAAAGTCGCGTTAAATTTGATACCGAGGCGTCTTATCTGTGAAATGGTACGGATAAACACATCCATATCACATATTTTATATCGTCTCGCTTTTATATATTGTAAGATACAAAACAAACTTATGACAAATGGTACACGTCTAATTTTTTTTTCGAAAAGTACTTGTCTTTTTTTAACGGGTGATAGTCGTAAAATATTTGTTTCAAGACCGTCGACGAGTCCTACTCAGCACGCGTTTTGGTAGGTTATAAACCTACAATTTTTTTTCAAAATATTTCATATTAGGGGTCGTTCAATGAAACGATAAGTTTTCAATGAAACGATAAGTTTTGTTTTACATTCCTTTCATAAATAAAATAAGAGCTTAAACCACGAATTAGTTAACTAGAAGTAAACTTGAGGAAACATTCTTTAGTGGTTGGATATAATTATTTAAAAAAACTTTATTTGTTAGTACAGGGTGGCCCATAAGTGACTACCCACACGCAACCTCTTAATAACTCACGTAATTCGTCTCCAAATTGCACCAAAATTTCAGAGATTATAGATATGGGTCAAACTTAGATTTCCTGAAAGTTTCGTAAGCCACGCCCAATTACAGTGGGCGTGGCGTGACACTTCCTCTTTTTCACTATTGTCTTCATAGAACGCTTTAAGCTAAGAACTCCAAATTTTTTGCACACATTTGGCTTGATAATTGAAAACCTTTCCCAAAGTTTCAAGTTCATTGGTTAAAATATGGCTAAGTTATGACCATTTCAAAACTCATCGGATACGTGATCCGAGCACTCAGTCAGTGATCTCGTCACTTGGTTAATGGCCTGTTTGGCTCACATGCACCGCTTGATTGGTTGCAGCCTGCTTATGGGCCGGCCTATACAGCTGACAGCACCTAAAACGCTATCACACGAATTTATGGTGGTGTCACCATTTCAGGGCTTGTTAGCCCTGCTAGTCACAGGTTCCTTACAATCAATAAAAATGGTTCACTATCCTCCCTTTACTGCAGAACAACGATTGTTCGTCTACCTGAAGAAATAAAATGGGGAGTTCTACCCTCAGATTAAACGACAATTTCAGATGAAATTCAACCGACCACCCCCTTGCCGGAAAAGCTGCTTTGACATTCATCACAAGATCAAGTTTACGTTTTCTGCACACGATCGGCGAAGAGTCGGCAGAAGACGAACTGCGAGGACTGTAGAAAACATCACGATGGTTGTTGGTGACGTGATGGACACACCTAAGATTGGCACCCGGAAACGAGCTCCTGCCTTAGACCTCAGCAGAACAACCCTTCAGCGAATCCTAAAGCAAGACCTTTCTAACCGGGCCTACCGAATCACAAAGAAACACAAACTTTTGGACCGTGATTTCCAATCGAGGATAGATTTCGCCAACACATTCCTTGAACATCTTAATTGAAATTATTGAATTGTTTTTGTGTGGGAATTTTTATTAGTTGATTTCATTTATTGATTTATCCTAAAAATTTGTGTTTTCCTTTCTAGCAAAGACATCATCGGTATCCAATCAAAGTCTAATGAACCTCATTAATACACGCTAACGCCTTACTCTTGATCAGATTGGGTGACGAGATCACTAATTGAGTGCAAATATCACTGACTGAGTGCTCGGATCACATATCCGATGGATTTTAAAATGGTCATAACTCAGCCATATTTTAACCAATGAACTTGAAACTTTTG